GGGCGGCCCGCGGCGGCAGGGCCCGCGCGCGGCCCGCGGGGCGGGGCGGCTGCTGGCGCCGAGGGCACGGCAGGGGCAGGGAGGCCTCCTGTTGAGCAGGGACCGACCGTCCCGGCATTCCTATAGTCCTACCACGACATGTTCTCAGAGCCCCAAAAAGGTCTACGAACAAAAACAATGTTCTTAGAACGTAAACCCGATGTGTTAAACCAAGACCATGTCAGCCAGAAATGTTCGAAGAACATCTCGTGGAAACCACAACAGATTACTATAACATTGTTTGGTAGGGCTATAGGCGAGCCAGGACGCTTCGCCACTGCTTGATCCTGGATCCCAGACCTCCTCGCGTTGGGAAGGCATCGCGACGGGAGGTTTTTGCGTCACTTTGGGCCTCCAAGGACTCTCGCCGGGCCTCGGGAATATCAGAGGCGCTCCAGGGTCAGAAGCAGGCCCCTAGGGAGGGGTCCGGGCTCCTGGGGGTCACACCATGGAGACATCACGACGTCGGGGGTCTAGGTAGATGGGGTCGCGAGTGGGAAGACATGCGAGGAAGGGGTCGCAGCGGTGGGCGGGGGGAGAGACGGAGTGGGCGGGCGGAGGGAGGAACCGAGAGAGGGGGAGGGGGGGCGGGGTGCAAAGGGGCAGGGGCAGCGAGGAAGGGGCATGTTTCCTCAGCCGGCGAAGTCACCGAGGGCAGGGGCGAGAGGTGGTCCAGGCCTCCTAGATCCGATCGGAGCAGATTGGGTCGGCGGTGCATCGGCGCCGTCCGCGTGGAGAGCACCGGGCTCCGCATCGAGCCGCATCGCCGATGCATCGGCGATGCGGCACGGTCCTTCGACCTCATCTACTCAGACCCCATCCGGGAGGCCGAGAAAGAAAGGCCCCGAAGGTCCGACGTTCCAACAAAAATTGGGCGGTCGGGACCGTCCAGAAAGGACTCAACAGGACGACAAGCCGGCCCTGGGGAATATGTCGAGACCCCTGGGGGCCACGCAACGAAAAAGTTGGAGCAGCTGGATGTCTGGGGCTCTCGAAGCCTCCCACGCTGGACTGCGAGCTGCACTGCAAAGCGGTCGAAGCTCGCAGAACAGACTGTTCACGCGGATACACCTGCCAGGGTGCCACACAGGGACGGGGCGCACCGCATGGCCCGTCTGCTAGAGACGATGGCGCACAACCCCAATCTACCGAGCAAGCTCAAACCGCACGCCGAAATCGCTCAAACCGCACAACGTCTCTTCGCTGCGAGAGAACAAACAAACATGACGGGACATGTTGGCAACGATCGTCCTTTGGGGCCATCGCTGGCCGCGGGGCCATCCGAAAAACCCGGAAGAACAACGTTGGGAAGGGGTCGAGATCTCACGACGTCGAAGTTCTGGGTCTCCAGACATCAGGCGAACAGACTTTATGAGTCGCAGCGTTAGTCCGTGGTTTGGGCCTCTGGGGGTCCCTGTCAGGCTTAGGGGCCTCTAATTGCTGTTCTGAGGCGCAGCCCTGCCCCCCCGGCCAACGGGTCGGGAACTCACGGGGCCGCGGAGGCAAACATCAGATATGAGGATGTGTGGGCCCTCGTGTCGTGGACAAAACCGAGATGCCCGTGACGCCCGCTACGGGGAGGAGGCTGTCCGTCACGGGGGAGCGGCTGTCCGGGCCCACGTGGCTGGGTAGCGTGAACGTGGTTAGAGATGGCGTGGCAGTGGCAGCAGTGGTGGTGGTGGCAGTACTAGCAGTAGTTGCAGCACGAGCAGCAACAACGACGACGACGACGAGAACGACGACGACGGGCGGCGGCGGCGGCGACGACGACGACACCGACGGCGATGACGGCGACACCAGTAGCGGCGACGACAACGACGACAAGCGAAAGCGGCGACGAAGGCGGCGACGACGACGACGACGCGGACGACGACGACGACGACGCGGACGACGACCACGACCACGACGACGAGGACGACGACGAGGACGACCGGCGGCGATGATGACGACCACCACCACCAAAGCATGCGTGCCAAAACCACAGACACCGCGCCATACCTGTGGGGGAGCCGGCCCCCCCGTGTACGTTCGCTAGGATGTTACAGGGAGGCTCTGAGGCGACCCCGCGTAAGGGAAGCTACGGGGTCACCGATAAAGCAACAATCTCCACGACGCGAGATCCCTACAAAATAAAGCTCCCCCTCCATCCTCCCACCTCTCTCCTCTCTCCTCCCTCCTCCTCCTCCTCCTCCTCCTCCTCCTCTCTTTCTCCTCCTCCTCCTTCCTCCTTCCTCCTCCTTTCTCTCTCCTCCCTCCTCCCTCCACCCTCCGTTTTCCTCCTTCTTCTTCTTCTGCTCCTCCTCCTCCTAAGCAACAATCTCCACTACGCGAGATTCTTACAACTCTAGGCCTCCAGGTGGACCTCAAAATGGCGGTCCCCTGGGGCCGTCGGACAACGGCTCGACATGAACAGGCGGCCCTGGGAAAGGTCCAGGAAATCCAGGGGCCTGCGCTGCGAGCAGAAAACCCGACGTCGGAGTAAAGGGAAGAGGCGGATATGAGGAGGATATATACAGAGGGAGGTGAGAAGAAAGGAGGAGAAGGGGAGAAGGAGGGAGGAAAGAGGAGGAGGAGGAGGAGGAGGGAGAGGAGGAGGAGGAGGACGACAAGGAGGAGGAGGAGGAGAAGGAGGAGGAGAAGGACGAGCAGGAGTAGGAGGAGGACGAGGAAGAGGAGGAGGAGGTGTAGGAGGAGGAAGAGGCGGAGGAGGAGGAGGAGGAGGAGAAAGGACCAGTATAAGCCAAAGAGTCATCAACGATGCTGGAATTAACCCTCCCCCCAAGCTCCCTCTTCATAGGACCCTACAACGGTTCACTTCCATTGAGGGAACTGCCTAGTTGGGAGACGCCCTTGAAAACCCTGAAGCATGCCAAAACATTGTTCTAGGGATTTCAACGCCACGGGTCAACCTGACTACTGCGTCTTGACGATCCGGAGTCGTGCCAGAACGCCATTCTTGGAACGTCAACACCACGAATCAACATAACTTTTGCGCCTGCATGCTCCTGGATCCTTCCAAAACGTCATTGCTGGCACGTGGACCATGGGAACCCGTGAAACTCTTACAAATCTTATGGCCCCCCATCCAGGGGAGGGGAGGAAAAGCAGAAGGAGGAGGAGGAGCCGAAGGAGGAGGAGAAGGAGGAGAAGAAGGAGGAGGAGGAGCAGGATGAGCAAGAGGAGCAGGAGGATCAGGATGAAGAAGATGATGATGAGAATGACGATGATGATGATGGTGATGTTGATGGTTTCAATGATGATGATGCGGATGATGATGAAGTTGGTACTGATGATAATCACGATGATGATAGTGCTGCTGCTGATGCTGCTGATGCTGATGAAGATGGCGACAACTTGTGCAAGCACTCGAAAGCATACCCGGGGAGCTTGCAAGCATCAAGAACATGCTTGTGGGAGACGCTTGTCAGGACGCTGGAAAGCATGCTGGGGGAGCGTGCAAGCTTCGAAAAGCAAGCTTCGAAGGAGCTCCGAAGGAACTGCGATGGACCTGCGGACAAGGCTTCAAACACGCGTATTCGCAACGAGTCGGAAAACGCTTCTCGGAACACGCTGCAACCTCAAGCAAGGCGCTGCGGAGATGCCTGCCCGGTGGCCTTGGAGAGGGGCTGGCAGGTTTCCAACGCCACGGATCAACCTGACTGCTGCGTCTTGACGATCCTGAAGCGTGCCAGAAAACCACTTCTGGGACTTTAACACCTCGGACTAACGTAACCGTTGCACCCTCAAAATCTTGAATCCCTCCGAAACACCATGTCTAATACGCTGATCATGGGAACCCGTGAAACTCTTGCACATGTTTAAAGCGAATGTGCGCGGCGCTAAAGCGAGAGCCACATTTTGAAAAAAGAGAAACCCTAAACATGTGAAGTTCTTGCAATGTTCAAAAGCGAGTGTACGCGGCGCTAAGACGAAAACCACATGTTGAAAAGGAGCCGCCCTCAATCCGTGAAGCCCTTGCAAATACTTACATCGAGTGTACGCGGCGCTAAAATGAGAGAGCCACATTTTGAAAACGGGTGGCCCTCAATCTGCGAAGCCCTTGTACATTTGTATCACGAATCTGCGCGGCGCTAAAGCGAGAACCACATGTTTAAAAGGACCAGCCCTCCATCCGTGAAGCTCTGGCGAAACTTGAAGACGAATGTGCGCGGCGCTCAGGCGAGAACCACATGTTCAAAAGGAACCGCCCTCAATCCGTGAACTTCTTGCACATGTTTTAAACAAATGTGCGCGGCGCTATCGCGAGAACCACATTTTGAAAACCATCCGCCCTCATTCCGCGGAACTCTTGCCAATGTTTAAAACGAATGTGCGCGGCGCTAAGGCGAAAGCCACCTTTTGAAAACCACCCGCCCTCAATCTGTGAAGCCCTTGCAGAAGTTTTGCAGCGAACGTCCGCCGCGCCAATGCGAGAGCCACATTTTGAAAACCAGCCGCCCTCCATCTGTGAATCGGCTGCCGCTGTTTAAGCTTCAGAATCATACATGGTGAGGAAGTCTCATGCGAAACGCCCGGCCCGCCATCAAAACAGGCCTCGGGGTGCGACAGGGGGAAATTAGTCATAAGGAACAGGAACGGAGGAGGAGGAGGAGGACGAGGAGGCGGATGAGGAGGAGGAGGAGGAGGAGAAGGAAGGAGGAGGAGGAAAAGGAGGAGGAGGAAGAGGAGGAGCAGGGGGAGGGAGGAGGAAGAGGGCGGAGTAGGAGGAAAAGGAGGAGGAGGAGGAAAAGGAGGAGGAGGACGAGGAGGAGGAGGAGAAGAAGGAGGAGGAGGAGGAGGAGGAGGAGGATGGGGGAAGGGGGAGGCCTGGCCGCCAAAGGTGGCGCCGGAAGCGCCGCCAGGGAGGATCAGCGCACATCCAGGAAATCCGCGCAGAGCTCCGAAAGTTTCATGTTTACGCCCTTTTCCTGCTTCGATCTACGGCCGAAGCAATCGCCTTGCCCTGTTGTGCACCGTGGGCCGCGGGTCGGGGGCCCGCTCCCCCGCGGCCGCTCCAGCTCGCTGCCTCTGCGGCCGGGGCCCCTGCGCGCTGGTGCCATGTTTGAGCAGGGACCCACCGTCCTGGCATTCCAGTGGGCCTACCAAGACATACTCTTAGAACCAACTGATGTTATAACAACCACAACAACACCAACAACAACAACAACAACAACAACAACAACAGCATCAATGCTCTTGGAACAACGCACCCTCTGTATCTAAACAAGACAGGCTCAAGCAAGCATGTTCTCAGAGCATGCAAGAAACAACAAATTCTTATAATCTTCTCTGGCGTCACTGTCAGCCAGTCAGTGCCACATGGTAGGGACTGGAAGCGTTCGATCATGGACCCTTGCTAACTACCCCTCTGCCTCGAGCGGTCTTCCGACGGTCTATGGCGGCTCCCAGCGTCTTCTGCGGCTTCCGGCGATCTTCGGCGGTCTCCCGTGGTTTTTGGCGGGTTCCCGCTGTCTTCGGCGATTTCCCGCGGACTTCGGCGTGAAAGCTGGACGCTTGCGTGCAACAAGAGGTTTATGACCGAGCACCGAATCCCGGGCAACTTTTACTTCCGCTGGCTTCCGCTGGCGCCGAGAAAGAGATGCCAACACCCTCGACTGAAACGCCTCATGTGGTGCCTGCTGGTTGGTGTCCTGAGATTGGCAATCTGCTTTCACATCAGGAGCGCAACAGCCTGTGTGTGGAGGGGCCCCCGCGCTGGCATCATGTATCCGCTCGAGCGGCGATGAATAACCTACAGCGGGGGTTGCGTGTGAGCCCAGTGATGTCATCATGCTGGCCAGAGGTGACGTCACCAGTCTCATTGAAATCATGGCTCGCACCGCTTATTCTGACAGTTTGCCTGACCAGCGCCAACGCATATTTACCTGATTTACTTTCCCATGCCCCGCATCTGTTTCAGCCTGCCTGTCAATCAACGGGCTTGCGTCTGCATTCGCATCCTGCGCCCTCCCTGACCGCGCACTCAGTCCGCAACTTCCCTGGCGTTGGCGATGTCCTTGGCCTTCGCGAGAATGCGCCTCGAGGTTGACAGAGGCTCCATCAGCGGCCTGAAGAGAAAAGCGGTGGCGTCCGAACCGCACAGCAAGTTCACGGCGACCGCCAGCACGAAGAGCGCTGCGATGATGAGGACAGCACGACCAGTGTCTTCGCCGACGGGTCTCTGGTCACATAACCACTCGCCTGGCACCATGATGAACACCATGTGCACCATGTAGACCATCATGGAGCGCTGGCCGGCCTTCTCGAACGCCCTGTCCAATACAGTGCGGGTGGGCGCCACGAAAGCCACCATGGCCGCAGTCATCGACAGTGTTTTCACGAGGTAGAGCAACATCATCAGCCAATAGCCCCCGACGTCGGGGGGCGGCACGTCCTTCTTGAGCAGCACCCAACGCAGCCTGGGGTCGCCAAACAGAGGCCCTAGAGGGCCGGCTATCGTGACCGCGAGGACGACGAGCACCAACATCCCAACGGCGGGGCCTATCTTGCTCCCCAGCGATCCGATGATCCGCTCGAACCTCTCCTCGCCGCACGCAAGGCCGAGCGCGAAGAAAGGCATGTAGTGCATCACCTCGCGCAGGGCGAACGGGTCCTTCGCTGCTTGGAGGGCCGCGTACGGGCAGATCGCGCCGACGCACAAGGAGATCATCAACATGCCAGGTATGCGCCAGAGGACGAAGACGGAGAGCCTCCAGACGATGAGTGCTGAGAGATACCAGGGTGCTTGATGAAACAGGAAGGTCCCTTTGAGCACTCGAAGCAAGATGCCAGAAACTCCAAGCTGTGGTTGCATCAGTGTGAGGGACATCAAGCCGCGCATCCATGAGAAAATGAGGTACACAAGGAATATGTCTAGACAGTTCCAGACCACGTGAATGGACTCCCTTAAGCCCTTTTTCTGCACGTTCACGGCGTACCGCTGGGAGAAGACACCCGAGAGAAAAACAAAACTTATGACGTGTATGGCGAATCCCCAATTAAGGACAACCCAGCCAGCCTTCGTGGTCTCCATGCCCCACTTGCCAACCCAATGCGTCCAGATCCGCCACCCTGCGTGCCGTAGGCACTGAGTGGAGAGTCTTGCAGTCCCTTCGGCCTCCCTGTTCTGAGGATATAGTACTCTGTAAGTGGCCTAGGGTCAAGAGTTACAATCTCTCCTGAGGGCTCCTGGGGGGCTCGCCTGATTTCCCCTGTGGCCACAAAGCGCACAAACAGCCCACATGTTCTTCACGGTTTGCAGCCCTGGAACGGGGGAACACGAACTAGCCACGGGAGCTTCCTGCCCCTGGGACTTCCAAGAGGCCCCCCAGATGGCGCCCAAGAGGCCCCAGGAGGCCTGCAAGAGTCTCACAAAAGGCGCCTGAGAGGCGCCTGTGAGAGCCTGAAAGGCCTCCAAGGAAACCCCCAAGGCCGCCAGAGCTGGCCCGGCACAGAAACGGAAAGAGCGCTTCAGAAACTTGACCGAAATTACTCACACCACCGTTCGTACTGGGAGCCTTGGCGCTCAAAGTTATTTACGTCAGCTTTCGTACTGGGAGCCTTGGCGGTCAACCACTTCTCACGTTACGGAACCTACTGGTTTTGGCTACTGGTTTTGGCTACTGCAGTGGCCTGTGCAATAGCATAAACGCTTATGTCTCTGATTAGTTGTGCAAAGTGTCGCAGTTAACTTGGGAGTTAAAGTGCGAAGGCGAACCTGTGGGTCTGCAGGTGGGTTGTAGTTTGACTCTTGTGACCAAGCACGCATGTAGATAGTGCTCGCGGATTGCCAAGGTCAGCATTGGTACGTTTGCCTATGTTACCTCGAGAAGTAAGTGTTCATTTGAAAGCTAGTTGCGGTACCCCGCCAGTGCCTCCAAATAGTTCTAACATGTCTACACAATTTTCCCTTCCATAGCAAACGGTGGGGACTATGGTAAATGTCGGCATGCGCGTCCGCAGTGCCACTTGGATGTTTTAATAAGAGGCTGTCGGCACTGTCTGACCCCAGCTCTACTACTATAGCGTCAGGGAGCAGCGCGGCCTCTCCTAGGCCATTGAAGCTGTCGCCGCAGTCGTCGTTGCCATCTTCAACAAGCTTGGGTTCCTTATTCGGTTTGGTGCCAGCTTCCTGATCAGCCTTTTGCTTCTCATTCTGCTTTATCCGCGCATCTGCTGATAATGCTGTCTGTGCGTTTAGTGTGTCCAGCAATATTGGAAAAGTCTGAAGTTCGGGTCGGCCCCCGTCGTCGAGCCCACCCAATCGAGGAGGGGAGGAGAACGATCATCTTCGATGAGCGTACCTCGTTGCTTGCGGCTTGGCGGCGCATGCCCGCGCCCGAGCACAGCTGGGGGAGCTACTTCCCAATGCAGTCTCGCACATAGAGTGCGGACTCCGTTGGGCAACGGTGCTTCCCAATTGTAATCGGTCGGTTGACCCATAACTTTAATAACTTCAACCACCTTCTTCTTGCCAGATTCAAATGTAGCCCAGCATACTACGTCGTCCCACGGTGGTCCGCTGTCTTTGGGCTGCATCTAGTTATGTGCTTGCGTATCGGTACGAGCGAACATGTAGGCGAGCTGGTGTTCTAGAATCGTGTGTATATTTACAGAGTTGGTCCACAAATTGCGCTGTCACGGATGTCGTTGTCTTGTTTCGCCATGCGGGGTGTTGTTGGTCGTGTCCGCGCCATTCCAGCAAGCGCTCCATAGTATTAATACACGTGCAACTCCATGGTGTTGTGGGCAATTTCCACGCACGATGTATATCAATATGTGAGCCACTGGGCCTCTTGGTAGAACGATCAAACTTAATTTCTCGACATGACATACGCGCGTCCGGATCTCTCTGAGTTCGAGGCTTTGGAGAGCTTCTTGCTTTGGAGCTAACTTCCAGAAGTATCCAGGCCGCCCTACCATGACTATTGAATCCTGAGAGCGGGTGCTTTGGCCAGGAGAGTACGGATTCTCTCATAGAGTGGCCCAGCCCGTTTGCTTGGCACCCTGGCGTGCCAGTCAGCGGGCGTGGCCACCGACAGCAGCGCGTAATCTCCAGATACTATCCCTCCGATATGTTGTGTTCCCATCGATGTCATTACCTCGTCGCGCACGATGCGATCGCGCATGTATCCTCCACGGCGTAGTTCGGCGGAAGCCGCGCTGATATCTTCTAAAACGAAAGCTTTCGAGTGATATGCTTCAGTGCTGGTTGTGGAGCGCGTGTCCAAGCTGTTCTTTGTTATAAGGCGGGCGTCCGCGCCTCTGGCCCCCTTGGGGCGGCGCGCGCGCTTGGCCAGGGGGCCCGCCTGACCCGCCGGCGGGGGTCATCTATGTGGGGTAGGATGCCCAGCGGCTCGTCGCTCGAGCACATCCTTCCGGGGCTGGTGCCCTGCTCGGCGGTGCTGCGCGACGACAAGCTAGGGTCGTCCATGTGGAAGACCTGTGGCCTGTCTTCCACAGTCGGGATGGTGCCCCGATCTTCTCTGGGCGCGGCCACCCTCGACACGTTGGGGCTGCCTGTGGTCCGGTTCCGAGCCTGTTGCGGATGGAGGAGGCTCGTCATTGGGTCTTCATCCCACTTGTCAGCAGCTCATTTCACCTTGTGGTGGGCGCCTGCAGGTAGCATCCATCTCATCTCATAGCGATCCACTGGGCGATCGATGCCAGTGGTCCATTGTCGAACTGACCATCATAGTGGTCGCGTCAACCACGGCCTGATCCTTGAAGCGATTCAACGCTCCACGATTATACTATTATGCTCGTCAGTGCCCTGGCATGCCTGGGAGGCTTGTCCACGTTCGGCCCCTGTCTCATGCTGGGATGAGCTTCCAGCACTCACATCCGTTAAAGTCTCAGGGAGTGCCTCACCATAATTTGAGCATGGGATGGCCAGGTGTCCTGAGGGCGCTGTCCAGCGTCAGAACTTGCGCGCCCTTGCAGAACTGCACCTTATATGTGCACGAGCATGGAAGGATAATGCGTTTCCTCACCCTCCTCCAAGATCGGAGTCGCTCTGTTTTACTGCGCGGAGGTAAGGCCAAGGATGGCGGGCAAGTCTGAGAAGGATCCTCCTGCGATGTTACCAACAAATTCATCCACCTTTCCGGATGTTGGTAATTACACGCACACGTGAACGTCCCCTATGTTTGGTACATGGCCGCACAACTGCCAACCGCGTTGGCGTACAGCAGCCTTTTTCAAATTTGTGACCTTCGGCATGTGCCCATGCTGGCGGGATGGGTGGTCGAACTCTCGTGCTGTGTTAATACCAGTGATATTGATATTCGAACAAACGTCCACCAGCATACTCAGTTTGACAAGGGTCAACGTTTTGAATTACCAGCTGGATGCGCATGCTGACTGCCGGCTGGGGACGACATGGCATGCGTTTCCGCGCCCATCTGCCTTCTGGACCTCCTCTGGTGGACGATGAACTGGCTACTCGACAGAATCGTAATCAGAGGGTCCGAGTTGGCCATGAAGGCGCTCATTTCTTCCACCGTGACGGGCTCGCGTTCAACTTCCCAGTCGGAGTACTTTTTGGTGTTGATCGGTTCGGGCAGTGCGTTCGTTTCCTCACCAGTGGCGCGGATCTCGTTGCCCTGCAGCACGGCTGCTGAGCACTGTTCATACATCGCCCTTTGTGCAGCCACTGCCTGTTCCAAGGCCGCATTCTTCGACGGGGAATCCACCCTCCTGTTCGTGGCCGGGCGAGGGCCGCGGTGGCGTCTTGCGCCCGCCTGTTGTTGTTGTTGCTGTTCTAGGAGGTCAAGCAATGGATTGCTGAAAGGATTCAGCGCTGCACAAGCTGCAGATGCCCGCGCGCCCTGCACCGACGGGGCGCTGACTGCAGCAGGAGTCCCCGCATCGCATAGAAGCGGGCTCGGAGTTGCCATTGCTGGGGGCTCGCCAGAATCACATGACTCGTGGCCGAGCTTGTCGGGGGGGGGAGGGGCCAAGACCACGTCCAGCCTCTGGCGCAAGTCGGATACCCCTTGAGCCTGCTGAATGGCCGCGGCTGCCGAGCTCGATGTGTCGATCTGTCCCGCATGTCGATATTCGGCCACAGCCGTGCCCGGCCCCCAGCAGATAGCACATGGAGCCTCTGCATCGGCCCCTGCCCTTCCCCTTGGCACGTGCGCCCGAACGATGCGGCCCGAGCATTCAAAGCGGCAGTGGCGACCGCGCTGTAGCCTCCACATCATTTCGCGCAGTGCGAAGGTCTCGAGGCGAACGGCGCGCTGTGTGAAGGATATATCCGACACCGCAGGTGTGTCTGAGCTCGGACCTGTCCGCCCTTGCCGCTGCAGCGTCCGCCCCTGGAGCTTGGAATGGACCTCGCGGTCGGCGCGTGTCCGCGCTGGGCGTTGCGATTGGCGATATGTTGCGTCTGCTTCAAACTCCGGTCACGCGCGGCCCTTCGGGCTCCTTCCGTTGCATGCGTGTTTGCTTGCATCGTCGCGTGAATATCATGCAAATATGTCGGCGAGGTGCTTGCAGGTGGGTTGACCTCCTGTGCAAGTGGCTGCGCTACCGTGTCTGGGTCTGTAAGCGAAGGGCGATCACCCATGTGCGGGTGCGCCTGTGGATCAGAGACACGTGCCGCATGCAAACGATAGAAGTCATCCGCCATGTCCCGAGTCACTTGGTTCTGGTCCAATTGGTCCACCATTGGTGTTCCATTGATCTCCGCATAGTGCTCGGAACATTGCGGATGGCCTATCTGTGGTAAAGCTGGCCCATGGAATTGCAGGCGTGTCGGGCGCGGCGAATGCCGGAGAAAACCGCAGCCTATCTGGGGAGGTTTGCCGATGGACTCGCATCGGGATGCCATTCCCAAAGAGGTGTCCAGCTATTCCGATCTGTCACCTCCAGTCCGACCAGCCTCACCTCAGACATGGCTGTCTGGTGTTGCGGTTGCATAAATCTCTGCTGCCACGTGCTGACTGCCTGTGTCCAGGCTGGTCCGGTGTCGGGACTGTCATCGGTGACATTGTTGGATTGCCAGTGGCCTGGCATTGGCGTGGAGTGGTGAAGGGCGTTGTGGCACCTATAGCGGCTGCAAAGTC